TGTCCCACACATGCATTCACCTGCATGTTCAGTAATTTCTTTTCTAATTAGTACATATTGTCTGCCGCCATTGTGTTTGTATCTCATGCCACCTTTTGGGGTGCTGCCGTAACACAATCTGTATCTCAAGCCCAACCTTCCTAATTAGTCGCCCATTACATACTCCTTGCCCTTGCAGGGTTCACAATAACCCCAGTACCCGCAATCCAGCCGTCTCCTTACCTGGAAACTTCATCGGTCCCTCTTGCAGTTCCAGCTGGCAACGCGGAAAGGTTGGTTTGCCCAGGCTTTAGGTGCCTGAAGGACGCCCTCTCTTTGGTTCATACTTTCGGAGCGTATGCCTTTTTCCTCTGGTGCATCTAAACTGGCGGTTCGGCTGGTGTGTCCCCCACTAAAGGACCTGGTCCTACAGTTCTCCAATCACAGGTTTTGGTTCGAATTCAGCTTTCATGTAATACTGTCGAAGATCACTGCTACTCCCCAACTCGGGACTTGCCAAGCAGGTTCCAGAATCTTCTCGTTCCTCGGTGTTACCAACACTACCGGGATATCCTATATCTACTCGGCAGTACGCAGATGCCCGATAGTGACAACTTTCCAATACAGAGCATTGGTGTGACCCAAAGTTACAGGTTAATCTAAGCCCCAACTTTAATGAAGATCCGTTACCGTAACGCAACCCTATTTTTCAAACTTTCGTCGTCCGTGGGATTTGAACCCTAGACCTGCTACTTGGAAAGGGTGATGACTTGACCACTTCACTAAGCTGCCACACCCTCTCTGATCTAATTTTATTATATACTATAGTATACAATATGTAATACAGTTATAAAATATACGTAATACAGTTATAAAATATTAAGATGGATAAATACTATCCAAGTATTTTTTATTTTTTTTCAAAAATATTAACCATTTAAACAACTTAGGACTTATATGAGTTCTCTGTGCAGTTATTAAATTTCCTGCATCTTAGAAAAGCCTTTTACTAGCTGTTGAAAATGCAAAAACAGCCAAGTACTGTTTTGCTAGTCTGCTATAACTGGGAATTTATTCTGTCGTTCATGCCACCATGCAAAAGGATCACAGTCAAAATCAATCTCTTCAATTTTTAAATAATCTGAAACTTCTTCAATTGTAGCTGGTATATGTTTCTTAAAATAGGAAAGTATACTACTTTTATTACAGAAGTTAATTTAACTTCCACTATACTATTTTCATTTTCTGCATCTAAATTATCTTTCATCCTACTATACTCTTCACAGAGTAAATTTTCAGTAGCAAATCTTTCATTAAATGCAACAAAATTTAAATTTTTACATTTGGGATCTAAAAGACTAGATAAGAGCGAACTTGGTGATGTTAAATTGGGCCAATAATAATTCATTGCATTATATAAATCACTTTTAATATCTTCAATCTCTACATCAACTGGTATATAAGTTTGCTTGCTTTCTTCTTCTCTCTTTATCATTACATCAAATAAGTCTTCAATATTATTATCATTAATTTCCACTATTGTATTATTATTAGAAGTTGATAGCTGATATCTTTTTTTAAGCTCAATTAAAGTAGGAACTATTATCAAATAAGTACAGTAACTGCTTCCACCTAGATAATCAGTAGCTTCAGCAAATGGTTCAAGAATTTTGACTAGATCATTCATTATATCCTATTCATCATCGGAAAGTAATTTTTTTTTTAAATATTTAAAGATCTTTTTTTGATTCTGAATCAAGCTTAGTTGAAAGTAAGTTTTTAAGAAAACTAATATGAATTTTTAATTAAAAGAGCCGATTCCAAACAAGATAAGACGAATTCTACTATGTTGAATAGTCAGCGATAGTATGCAAGTATTTAGAACATTTGTAATATTCTAATAAATTAAAATATGTATTAAAAAAATTATTAAATAAATAAATAAATATATATATATATTATTACCTCAAAATTAGTATTATTATTATTATCGCTTCCATTTTCACTTTCATTTTCGCTTTCATTTTCTAAATCATTTGTATTTACAATTTCAGAAAATTTAGCTTGGACTTCTTCAAGTTTTTCACTTTGTTTAGGCCACATAAAAAATTTAATCAAATGTTTAATTCTTTTAATTAGTAGTTTTGCCAAAATTAGTCTTTTTGCTATGACAAGCTGTAATGTGTGGGCTGTGTATTTTAGCCAATTAGCATTTTCATATTTGATATAGCTTTTTTTAAATTACTACTATTATCTATAGTGATAATAAAGATTCTATCTTGAATTTCCCATTCATATATAACAGTATTTAATACTTCACCTATATATTTAGCTGTGTATAGATATCAAACATATTTTATTGTAAAGACAAATTCACACAGTTTCCAACTATTATTAATAAACGAACAAATAATGCCAAGATAGCCTTGACAGCTATAAGCTGTCCAGAAATCTATACTTAATGATATTGAAAATGCTTCACTAATTAATTTAACTTTTAGCTTTGGTAAGCTATAATTATATGCTGTATATATTAATTTTTTGACAGTTTCTTTACATGGTATGATAAATAAAGAATCAAAGATCATGAATTAAATTGCGAAATGCTTCATTAGATACAGTGTTAATTGGCTGAAAGTCTTTAATAATCCAAGTTGTAAGAGATTGATGTAATTCATTTTGTAGAGCTTCTAGATATTTTTTATTCTTTGATGAAATTTGTTTGTTATTCTAAATTAAAGTTTTTTATGTTAATTTAAATATTAACTAATATAGTAATATATTTTAATTACAAACCTCAATTTTTCCATTTTTATTTAATTCATGTAAATTCCGAAGATGTGTTATCATATTTCTAGTCAATTGGCTGGTATAGTTGTATTTAGTACTACATTTAATACTATTATCATTTAATATTTTGCAAACGATAACAGAAAATTTTTTTCTATCTTTATTTTTATCTGTGGCTTCTTTAAAGTAATGCCAAATTCAATTAGATTTGGTACGTTCTTTATTTAAAGGCTTTCTTTTTTTATTAGAGAATTCAGAATTCAAATTGTTAGAATATTTTTCAGACATTTTTAAAAGAATGTAAAAAGATGAAAAAAAACTAAAACAGATAAACAGATACTTGTATATATATTTATTTTATTAACAATTATATATATATTTATTACTTTTATACTTAGAAAATATTACAATATGCTGTATTACATGTATTCATTAAATACTATTTACTTCTCAGAATAGCAGAAATAATAAATATCTACGGGAATAATAAATATCTACGTGTATACTACTTGTAAAATAAGGATTCCCTTTGTTACATTTTGTATTTAATTACATTTTTTAAAATTTTAGAAGCAAAACATAAAAAACTTTGGAAAGAGAAAACCTGTAAATTATATCACTTATTATCATTATAGTGAATTTTATCCCTGAGGAGTCTTCAGAGTAGAATTTACTATAATGATAAAGTGACAGGTTTTCTTTTCCCATTGCTTATGCACAGATTATATTAATATCTTAATATCTAGGTCTAATATGTAAAGAACTCGATTATATATAAAATAATTTTCTTTAAAAATTAAATACTAATATACAAAAAACTATTAAAATTAATAGGGATAATAATTTTTGCAGATCGTGATTATGTGATTATAAAATGATTTTTCCTTAATAAAATTAAATATATAAATCAAATATTTTTATAATTTAATACTTTTTTATTTTCATATCCTCAAAATAACACTTTTATTCTCAAAAACAATGTGCATAATTGCAACAATTGTGGTGCAAAATTTGAATTTAAAAAATGTTAAAATTAACAAATTTAAGTATTATTTTATTTCTCATATTTAGATTAGTACCATGAAGAACATTACGAGTATTATCCCTTTTGCCATCAAGGAATCTACATATTTTTGCCAAGCATCGGTTAGCTTTGCTTTTCCTCTTAATAATGTAATCAAAACAAAAGTCAGGTTTGCCAAAAGACAAAATTGACTTACTAATATACTATGATTCAATTAACTTATATTTACTTAATTAATATTAAGCTATCTTTTCATTATAGATCGCATTACTAATCACTAAATTACTTCATACTTATGTGTGACTATAACAAGAACTATGTTCAATTAGTAGTGAGACAAAATCTGCCTGGTTCAATTTGGGTGTGACTAGTAATATAGCGATAATGATCTATATTTTTTTTGTGATACAATACTATACTAATAAAAAAAAGTCGATATGAACAAGAATTTATTGACTGGACTAGGGAAAATATAATCAAATTATACTGTGATTTCAAACAATTAAAAATTATAATCAACAAAATCATAGTAAAAATCTATAAAAGTGTTTTATTTATTTATATAATTTATTTATTTATATAATAAATAAAATTGGTATTAATCAGATAAAAAATATTGAAACAGTTGATTTAACAACTAAACAGCTTTTAACTTGTTTGTTTTAGCTCTATGCATTGACAATAGTTACATCAGAGTTATTATCGCGAGGGTAATCAGGTTCACAGTTATATGAAAATATATATATGATTGTATACAATAGAGATTATTAATGATGCAATTGAGATTATAAAGACACATGTTGAAGTAAATAGAGAATTTTAGTGCTTTCTTACTTCATCATGTTCACTTGTTCCCTTCGCAGCCCAATTACAATCTGGCTCCTTCATGTCTTGTGCTCTATTATAAAGAAATACAAAAGGAAAACACATTACACTAACTTACAGTATGATGAAAGTACAGTAATAGGAGGTGCGCTTTACAAGAATATAATAGTATCTTCTTTGAATTATCCTAAAGAAAAGAAACAGCTTCATAGGAGAAAATTATTAATAGATAAACTTGCAAGAACATATGTTGACCTAAAATTTTACTAAGAAAGAGAATGTATTAGAAATACACTTTGCAAGATACCATGTTAATTTCTTCAAATCTTTCTGGTAATAGCTTTAATTGGAAAGAAGAAATATATTTCAAATATCTTTACAATAATACCATGCAGACCTTTGAATTTCTTGAGAGAGAATATTAATATAAAATACAAGCAAGATTGAGAGAAAATCTCTGATAACATCCAAAGGTTAATCAAATAGAACTTAAAATAATCAACTCTGATTTAGCCGGCTAAGCTAATTTTTTAAATATCAACTTAGTCAAGTCAATAAATAATAGCTAACTACAAACACTACCCTCTATTTTGTTTTTTGTAAGAAGCCAAAGCCGGATCTAATATTATGTTCAAGAATTCAACTCTTATTTTATTAGTTAAAAAATAAAAATATATCGTTATATACTCCGTTTAATTTTAATTTTTTTTTTATTTGAAGAATTAAATAGTTTATTTTAATAAAGTTTTTTTTTTCTTTTTTACATAATATCCAAACTCATAATCCTGTAACACCCTGATTTCTGATACTAATTAAAAGATACTCTAACCGGAAATTCTGTGAAAAGTGTAAAAGGAGAAATGCAGTATTTTGCTATTTCAAAAAAAAAAGAATTTCAATCCTTCATAATATTTGCTAAGCACAAATATTCTACAAGTGTTTTTTATTTTGGCAGATTTTCGATAATAATCAATACTCTATTGTTTATCTTTTTCAACTTCAATTCTTTTGCTTTATAATAAATAATATTGCATGTTCATCCTTTTCAACTCCAGTTTTATAAAATTATTCATTCCATAAATGTTTGCTAATTTTTGGCAATAAATGAATGCCTTATGTTTGTTCTTTTCAACTCCAATCCCATAAATATGACAATTTCAAGTTACATATTCCACTAATGTTACCCAACTCAGCTGTTTTTTGATAATAAATGAAAGCCTCATATTTGTCCTTTTCAACTCAATTTCATAAGACTATTTATTTCTTAGCATGCCCTGTCTCTGCTATTCTTGATAATAAATGAGTTCACCTTTCTTGACTTCAATTCTATAAAGATGTAACATTACATATTCTATTAGCATTACCCAATTTGCATAAATATAATGATTTCTGAGGTGTGGCGACTTAGTGTAGTGGTCTAGTTATCACCCTCTCCAAGTGGCAGGTCTAGAGTTCAAATCTCACAGACGACGAATTTTGAAAAATAGTCTGTGTTTCGGTTTACGGTTGTCAATTATCGGTTGGATCTAGAAATCTGTAATCTCGGTCATACCATCTAGTTATGGGAACTTTGGCGCAATAAATCCGAGAAACCGGAATAACCGAAAACCAATTTGGTAAGTCCCGAGTTTGGAGGTAGTAGTAATCTATGACGGTACCACAGGAGGGCTGAATTCAAACCGGGGCCCGAGATCAAAGAACTGAGCGACCAGGTCCTAATGGTAGAGGACACACTAGCCGAACCACCGGGTTGTTGCACCAGAGAAAAAGGACATACGCTCCGAAAGTATGGACCAAAGGGAGGGCGTCCTTCAGGCACCTAAAGCCTGGGCAGACCAACCCTTTCGGGTTGCCGGCTAGAAGTAAGGGAGGGACTGGTAAAGAATCCGGGTAAGAAGACGGTCTAAATGTGGGGTACTGGGGTTGCTAGGAACCA